GACCGTGTGTACACTGCCAGGCGCTGCGAGGCGGTGCCCGGCGCTACCAGGCCGTCGACACGCTGTAAAAGGGCCGTAAAGTGCCGGCCGGCCCGGCGGCGTGCTGGAGCGTGCCGCGGCGTCGCCCGGTGTCTCGGTGCTGCCATGCTGTCGCCATGCTGTCGCCATGCTGTCGCCATGCTGTCGCCATGCTGTCGCCATGCTGTCGCAGTGTCCAAAGTGGGGCATCACCCCGCCCGGCCCCACCCACCAAATTGGGATGAGAGCCCTGGCGGCTTCAGGCTTCGGGTGACCCGCTACGCTCGGCCGTCGCTTCTCAGGGACAGAGTGCCGACGGCGACGGTAGGGCGCCGCGCCACGGCCGTGGTGAGGACCTTCACGAGGTCGAGCCCCACTGCGGACGGCCCCCGCGGCCCCGGCCGTCTGTTCTGCCGCTCGTTTGGAAGCAGTCCTGCGGTAGTTGAGCGAGATGTGACGCCTGGGACCGCAGTGGGGCGGGGCGGGGCCGGAGGGGGGCCCTGGGGGGCAGCGTGCGGGCGCTCGGAGCTCGGAGCCGCCGACAAGCCTCGCCCCTTCTAACTACCCCCGCCACCGCCACGACACCGCCGTGGTTCCCATGGGCGCCCGGGGCACGCCGAGCCCCCCGAGGGGTCACTCCCCGCGGCACGGCCGGCCGGACGCTAATTGGAGCCGCAAATCAGAGTGTCCACCACAGCGCGGGGCTGGAGGGCTGGAGGGTTGGAGGGCTGGAGGGCCGGAGAGCTGGAGGGCCGGAGGGCTGGAGGGCTGGAGGGCTGGAGGCACTGTGGCCGGTAAGCGCGCTCGCGCGGTACGTTTCGGCGTACGAGAATACGTGAACCAACAACCAGCCAGACCGGCCAATCAGAGAGTCCGAACCGGAGAGAGGAATGGGATGGCGATGGCTGTATATGTATGTGCGCAGCACGCAGCCGCCTTTTGTGCACGCGCCGTGGCCGGCCCGTCTGCCTGTGTGTCCGTCCGTCGGTCCCCGGTTGCTCTTTGCAAGGAGGAAAGGAAGGAATATCGTTGGCCCACGCGCGCGGTGCTCGGCCAGGGCCTCGGCCAGGACCTAGCACGCTAGCACGCGACGCCACATACCACCTGCCCAGCCTTCCCAGCGGCCCAGCGGCCCAGCGGCCCGGCATCTGGCTGGCATTCCCTGCCGCTGGGAATTTCTCTGCCCCCCCTCCCCCTCCCCTCCCCCCGGCCCCGTTTTCTTTTGTCGTGCCATTGATTAATGGGACCGGATTAATCCCCGCCATCGTTCCGAAAGTCACCAGGGCGGGGCGGGGCGGGGCGTGCTGGGGATGCGGCAACAGATTATTGTGTGCCTTTGTCCGGCGCGTCAACTCGACACGCCGAGTCGCTTGTCGGCCGGGCCCGCGAGGACTGCTGTTCGGCAGCGGTTCAGAAGGCGAAATATTGCTGAGCGAGTTGTTCCTGAAGGCACGATCCGTGTATTAATAAACTGTCCGGGAGTCGGGAGGAGACTCCACCCAACCTCCCCGCAAAGTGAACGCGGCGCCCCAGGCACGGAGTAAAATCATCTGAAAGGGTTCGCGAACCCGAGCCTTTCCTGTCGCGTCGCGTCTTCAGAGCTGATGCCTGGTGGCTTGGCCGGCCTCTCCGCCCCTCCGGCCCCCGCCCCTCCGGCCCCCGCCCCTCCGGCCCCCGCCCCTCCGGCCCCCGCCCCTCCGCGACCCGCGGCTTGCGTCGTGGGATCGCGTGCCCCGTTATTGAACGGACCTTCGGAGAACGTTTTGACGAATGCGGGCGGGGGCCTCGCACAAATCGACGTCCTTGTTCATGGAACCCTTTCTCGTCCTGATGTTTTCGTTTGCGATAAAAATAATGCGCGGACTCGCATCGATTCGGGCTGCGCGCTGCGCCGCGCTGCGCAGTGGAATTTCGGGGGTCTAGTTATACGCTCGTTGGCCGGCAGCGCTGCTCGCTCATCCGCATTTGCATTCAGAGGACATGGCGGGGCCTGTTCGACCTGCAGGCCCGCGTCGCTGTCTCCCTCGCACCCCCGGGGCGGCGCACAGAGTGCGAGGGAGACACACTGTTCGGCCTGCATGCCGCGCCGAAAGCGGGTCGAATCTCTCTGAGTGCCGGCCGAGCCGAGCCGAGCCTGGCACGTGCACAGAGAGGCTGACAGCGTCAGAGCGACGGCGCGACACAGAGTGTGGTGGCTGGCGCAGGCAGGATGCAACGTGGTGCTGCACCGAGGCCTGGTTGGCGGGCTGCCCGAATGGCGGCCTTCCCTCCCCGAGTGCCTCCGTGTCGCCGTGTCGGTGTGCGCCACACTGTGTGGGTCTTTGTCCCTTTGACGTGCGGGCCGAGAGAGAGCGACACGGCGGTGCAGCTGCGCCTCTCGGCACGTTTCCGCGTCCGCGCGCCAATTAATTGGAGCGTTCTGATTCGCTGCCATCGTGCCGCGGAATATAAAACCGTGAACCGTGAAACGAGGCGAAGTTACCGCGGCACAGTGGTCCAGAAGGCGGCTGGAGGCGGCCAGAATTCCAGACGCGTTTTGAGCTCCAGAGTCGCTGAATGTGACCCGAACCGAACGTGTGACCCCACCAATGGGTTGCTCTCCAAACGAGGAATCTGTTGGTGGGATCACGTTTTACTTGGGTCCTGTTTAGCGAATCTGGAGCTCGAAACGCGTCTAGAGGTTCGTCCGCCTCCGCCAGTCTCCTGGCAAATCCACTGTGTGCGGGCCAGCAAGCCACTGCGGAAGCGGACGCAACCAACCGCAACCAACTGCAACCAACTCTGGACGCACAGCCCCCTGTTAGGCTAGAACTCGACTCGATTGAAACAACGTGATAGGCTGCTAATGGATTACTCTTTCAAAGAGCACCGCGTGTTTGATCCACGGTGGAGGGAGATGCGGTCTTGGATTGATCCGAGCGCTGCTGGAGGGAAGTCGGGCAGAACGAAGGCAGCGCGGTCGGCCCTAGGTCGACCAGGTCGGCCGTCGGGCTAGCGACGACAGGTCCACCATTAATCGCCGACCAGAAAGGCATTGTCTATTAGTGGCTGTTGACCTTCTGCCGCCAGCTGGCCGGGCTGCCTGGATGGCTGCCTTCCCCGGCTGTCCCGCCGCCCCGCTGCCGCCCCTCTCGCCAGATTGGCAGGCGGGCAGGCAGGCAGGCAGCGCGTTCGAGAGCCCACTCTGCTCACTCTGCTCGGGGCGGACCGGCGCCCATCCACGCCGCCCACTAGGGACGGGCGATTTCCAAATTTTAGTATCGCGATTGCGATTTCTCATATATCGCGATTTCATGCGATTAATCGCAAAATCGCAAGAATCGCAAAAATCGCAAGAATCGCAAAAATCGCAAAAATCGCAAAAAATCGCAAGAATCGCAAACAAACGCAACAATACTTATATACTACCCATTATGGCACAAAATCTTTTTAAAAAGTGCCCAAACAAATTCCTGAGTGGTCAAATGGCAGGCTAGTGGCACCGACAACACGCGCCAGCCTCGTTCGGTGCAGTGGTCGCGAAATCCATGTACGGTGCGATTTTTGCGATTTAGCGATTTTTGCGATTTTGCGATTAATCGCCGGGGTTCAAAAACCGAAATCGCACCGCGATTTTTTAAAAAAATCGCATCGCACCTGCGATTAATCGCAAAATCGCCCGTCCCTACCGCCCACTCCAAAACGGGGCCTTTATTTGGAAAGAGAGACATGTTGCGTGGGGCGGTGAAAGCCAGGGGCGGACAGTGGGGGCGGGGGGCGGCTCCGTCGCCAGGTGGGGCCGAGCCTGAGGCCACCCGGCCACCCTCCTCGCCCGGCACTTCGGGGAAGCCGTCAGAGAGTCGGGCCAACCCTCAGGAAAAAGACTAAGTCTCATGTTCGCGGTCAGAAATGTGGGTTCTAATGAGAAAAAACGAGTCGAGTCGTGATCGTCGCGCGAACGGGGCGCCGCGTCGGGGCGCCGTGAGGCCGTGAGGGTGGGAGAGAGACGGAGCGATGATTGTCGCCTGGTGCTACCCTCCAGCACGATCTGCACCCGGAGAGAGAAATACAAAGAGCGAGGTGGAAGGGGAGAATAATGGATGCGCGAACTCTGCGTGCCGCGACCTGGGACTCGGGTTCTCTTTCTTTGTCTTGAGGTAAAGGAATCCAAGAATAAAATGAAACTGAATCACATCTTTTCCTAACGGAGCGAATTTCGTCTGTACAGCACCTGGATCTTTCCTTTTCACCACCAGAAAACCACTTCTTGAATAACTCCCACCGTTTCCCTCTGTCCCGGAGACACGTGAGGTGGGGTGGGGCGGGGCGGGCCCGGGTGGTGGTGAACGAGGGTCCGCAGTGTCAGAGAGGCGCCTTTGCTGGAAGGTGAATAGATTAAACCACAGCGGAGCCACACCCACCTGCAAAATGGACTCCTCTGCACACACACACACACACACACACACACGCACACACATTCCGTCGGTGACCTTACCGTCTGGCCCGCGCCCTTCGCGTCGCACCCCACCACGCCCCACCCGCCCTCGCGCCCCACCACTCCCCACCCGGACCGCTTTTGCTATCTGCTCAAGTCCCTTCGCGGGATACGAAGCGTTTTGCAGGGGGAGATTTAGTGGGCCGTCGAAGAAAGGGAAGGCATGGACGATCGTCGTCGAACCTCGCAGCTCTCGAGCTGTCGAAGGAGGCGAAGAAGAAGAAGAAGAAGAAGAAGAAGAAGAAGAAGAAGAAGAAGAAGAAGAAGAAGAAGAAGATAAACTATTTGAGAAAGTATTTATTTACCCCGCATGACAAGAAATTTTATGTTTACACTTTTTGAAATCATCAAAAAATGTTTGTTGATGCAGTCGGCTTCAGGAGGAGCGATTGTGGTCGTTGTTGTTTTTGTTGTTGCTGTTTTTGTTTTCAGCGGTCTGCCGTGCGCTCCCTGACGTTACGCCTATGACGCTGCTCGTCCTGTTACACTGTTTCATTGTTCGTTCCAGAACATGCTGTTCTACTACGACACCCAGGCCAACGCGCGGCCGTCGGGCGTGGTGCTGCTGGAGGGCTGCTACTGCGAGAGGCTCATCACCCCGCCCTCCGGCCAGGGCTCCAAGAACGCCAAGGATGGCATGGAGCGGCAGGTCAGTCAAGCTCCATTGTTTTGCCTTGTGTGGCGGTCATTTGGTTTTTCGGTCTGAAAAGAATTTTACACTCCGCCATTTTTATGTAAATTTGATACTTCAAACAAACAAGCCACGATTAAGTTTCCAAAATTATGGAAAACTTGATGAATGGCAGAACTTGGAACCCATTCCATCTGAGAGAAACGTGCAGCCAGGTCCCTATCACAGTCTCGTGGGCTTGATTCCCCGTTCTGGGCCTGATGACCTGCTGTGAGTGTCCGAGACAGGTTTTAATTAATCGCCAAGTTTTCGTGCGCTTCGCCCCCTAGTCTGGGGAGTGCACTGCGGGCGGGCTGGGCTGGCCCGAGGGCTAGCCGACCACTGAGAATGAATTGGTCACCACCATCACCCTTTAAATGGGTGATGCAACTCCGTTGCCCAAATTTTGGTGACGAAAAGATCATCACCCGAAATTGGGTAACAGGCGTTTGGTCGCCCAAATTTGGGTAACGCCGTCGGCGACGCTGTGAGGTTCCCGATGGCGTCCTTCCGGGGCCACCACGATGACCGGAGGCCTCAACGCCACATTGGAACCATCGTGGTGGCCCCGGAAGAGCGTCATCGGGAACCTTACGGCGTCGCCGACGGCGTTGCCCAAATTTGGGCAACGATTTTATGACTGCCCAAAATTTGGTCACCGCGGGCTCGTCACCCAAATTTGGGCAACGGTGCGTGCGTTACCCAATGTAAGGGCGATGGTGGTGACTGTTTCATTCTCAGTGTACGGTGCACCACGGCAAATCCAGCCCATCGGCCTTGTTGAATCAAACGGCGATGCCGCCAGGCCCTGTTCTCCTGTCCGGCCGGGCCCCACCCCACCAGGCCGGCCAGCCCGGCCAGCAAGCACTCAAGGCTGGCCGAGTAGCCTCCAACTTTCCGCCAGTCGGCAGAGTGTACCGGGCCGAGCCGGGCTGGGGGCCTTAATCAATTAATGGCCTGGATCCGTTTACTGTCCAGAAATGACGGCTCGGTCTGAGTCACTGCCCGTCCCCCTTCCCTTTTCCCCCGGCCTCGCTGCCTCGCCTCGGCTTGTCGGCATGAAAGAATTTGCCGGTTATTGCCAAAGGAGAGCACACCTCTCGTCGAATCGTTTGCCGAATCGCCCTATGTATCTACACTGCAAACTCAAGTCCGCGGTGTCAAGGCCACTGCTTGTCGGTTCCAAATCCACCGAAATCAACCGAAACTTTGTCATAGTGGTTTAGGAACGCTAGTCGATCTCTGTGTACTCGCGCACACAGAGACATTTATGAAACATGGGAGCTGCAAAGTCTGAAGGCCCTTGTTTGTCAAAACACTGCTCATGCAACTCGTAAATAATAGGAACGGAATAATGTGACCCTGGGACGCGGGACGCCGTTCGGACCGGTTCGGACGTAGCTGACAGCCGTGGTGGAATGCCCGCTTGCCCGCTCCGGGAAACGTTTGTGATAAAAAATAAATGAAATAACTGGAGAAAATTTAAATTTCAACTTTTGAATCTGATTCCCTCAACGTCAACGTCCGAGCCCTGCATTGGATCCCTCTCGCAAAAAAAAACCGAATCACCACGCCGAGAGTACCCCACGCTTTCCGCCCCTCCCCCAACCCCAAATTAGTCCATACATCTTTAATTTATTAATCAATTCAGCGACGCTGTGCGGGGCGTTGATTACTGCCACCATGGCGCCACCAAGCAGCGCGGAGCAAAAACCAAAAGGGAATAAACTACCGAAAGTGGATTGCATCGGTGTTATTTTGTTACTCCGCAGCGGCGCCATTCCGCGCTTTGGGTCTCGGCGCGGCACCGCGATTCAATTTCCGCGGGGGGGGGGGGGGGGGGGGGGGGGGCAAAGGCCAGGGCGCGCTGCAGACTGACTGACTTGTTGCTCCGTAGAAACTTTCGGGCGCAAGTCAGCGCACCATTGATTGCATCTCCAGGCGGGCACGGCGAGGGCACGGCGAGGGCACTGGCGAGGAGGAAACTAGTACTGTAGGCTGGGACCACGTCCCCGTCGTTGAGATGCGATTGGACGCAAGTAGCCGCCAGAAGCCCGCAGTCATAGCGTAGACGTCACCCGTTTCGATCTTGCGGAAACATTGCTCCAAAACCTACACTCTCAGCCGTTTACTGACTATTTCTCATTGGTAGACGTATTTCTGTAAGCAACCATAATATTTAGTATTTAGTTCTTAAATACTTAAAAAATTCTTTGTAAGTTTACTAAGAGAACGGTAATATCAGTACAGTAATTAGCAATTGCTAAGTAATACTGACAAAAAATACTAAGTATTATGGTTGCTTACGCGTCTGCACTACAAGATCAAATGTGTGCTTAGTACACAGCTATGGGAGCGTACTTGCAAGCACACATCTATAGCTGTATGCTTGGACAAGCACACATCTATAGGTGTATGCTTGGCAAGAACACATCTATAGGTGTATGCTTGGCCAAGCACACTTTAATCCCACCCATTTAAAGGCATACTCCTACAGCTGTGTGCTTGGCCAAGCATACATCTATAGATGTGTGCTTGTCCAAGCATACACCTATAGATGTGTACTTGCCAAGCATACACCTATAGATGTGTGCTTGCAAGTACGCTCCCACAGCTGTGTACTAAGCACACATTTGATCTTGTAGTGTGCTAATGAGAAATAGTCAGTAAAAGGCTGAGAGGGTAGCAGGTTCGTCGAACACTCTAGAAAAGTCACACGGAGGGAAGGTGCTGAGACTACCACCCCGATGAGGGGTTAAACGCTCGCGGCCGCCTACAGTCCCAGTCTAGGGCGCTCAATAAAAATACCTCGGTCCGCGTCCCCCTACAGTGCTCTGCGTGATGACGACGACCGCGACTTAAACACGAGGTCCAACACCACGTGCAGCACAAGCCTTCTAGCTGCGATGAGTGCCGCGCCGCCCGGTGCTCACGCCGCCACGCCGCAGCGACGCTCTTTTCAGAAGAACCCATTCAAAGTTACTCCCCCAGGGCCCCTCTCCCCACCGCCAACCATTTCGCGTTTGCCTCGAACAAACCAGCAACAAGGCAAACGAGGTGGGCTAGCCCGTCCGGAATAAATCCCGCTTTTCCCTGTTGCCTTTAGAAAAGTCCGCAGACTACTTTTTAACGACCCAACGCCCATCTTTTATGACGCGGTCATTGCGGCTGGAGAGGGTGCAGCCGCTATGCACGTTGTGTTTAAAAGCGAGAGTCCTGCATGCTCCGGGCCACTCTGTTTTATTTTAATTGCTGTTAAGCTGCAATTTTTTTTTTTTGCTAAACTGCATTTAACAGCAATGAAACTGCCAACCCCAACGCGCCTCAACGAATGTTTTCGAGGGACTCGAATCGCAGTCTCTTTTCCAAGAACCGCCGTGGCGTGGTCTCTGATCCCTCTCTGCGCTGCTTTCGCTGGCTTCGCTTCGTCCACGTGCGCGGTGTGCGCGGTGTGCGCGGTGTGCGCTGCGTCCGCTGCGTTGTTGCTTCAAAGCGGATTAGAGCCTGTTCTGCCTGTGCGGCCCGGCCCGGCCAGAGCAGAGTGGCTCGCTGCAATAATAATGCTCAAAGCCGATGACGCTCCGTGCACTCCAAAAGGCTACAAAAAAAACTTTGAAAGAGCTCTTGCAAAGGCTCACTCATTCTCGCGGATTTTCGTACGAGTTAACCCGAAGCAGCGTCGCTCCAAGCGATGCAAATTGCTTCAAGGTCGTTCGGGAGGCTGCCTTCTCTCGCCCGGGGGGGGGGGGGGGGGCTTTCCAGTCGAACTGAGTCCGGCCGCGGTTCGCCGCGGCTCCATTGTCGAAGTGACTTTGTTGATTTGTTTGGCACTGTCCTCGGGGCGCGGGATGGCAGCGGGAATGGCAGTACGCGGAAACAGAAAAGTTCGGCCAGCGGCGAGTTGACTATAAATTTGATAGGCAAAAAAAAAAAACGTGTCGTCAGACTATTTTTGAATTGAATCAGCTTTTTTTTTTGTTTTCTCTGCATCAGTTTGACACGTTTGCTACGGAACAAGAACGGTGCTCTTGCCGCGATTCCCCATCCCTCTAATTTCACTTCGGAGTGAACGTCGTGTTAAGGTTTGCATTGCATGATCAAAAAAGCAATTTTCTTTCTTCTGTGATTGCTGAGGAGCTACGACATACGCGAGTCGTTAGAGTAGATACACTGTAAATGTCTTACGGTGAAAGGCTGCACCAACATATTATGGTGGGGATTTTCTCCATAATACCAACAAAATTCGTCAAAATATCTATAAGGTACAGTGAATTCTCAATGGTATGTTACGAGGTCAGCTGCACCACCATAATATGGAACATTTTCACCATAATATGGAGAATCTTTACTGTAGAACATTTAGAGTGTACTCCCCATGTTTTCGGAGAGTGCATGGGTCAAGCTGAATATGCGACAGTATAGCACTGCACTCAATTTGCCGCTGCCACCGCCAGCTCCATGGCCCTCGCTGGAGGGCGTGTAACTGATACAGCTCACGCGGCGCGGCGCAGCGCGGCGGAACAATCCGAACCGACAAACAAATACGCGTGGCGTGGCGTGGCATGGCGTACCCGCAGTGCCCAGTGTACCAGACCCCACCACCGCTTTGACCCTTTATTTGGCCCAGCGCAACCCAGCGTAGCGTGGGTCCTGTCGATAGCGCGGTGCCCCGCATAAGCTGCACCATTTTGCGTGGGGACGCCGAGTCCACGGTGTCTCCGCTTCTCCCAAAAACTTGTACCCTGTGGCAATTTTGTTTTTGAAATTGCCCGTCGATGTCAGGTTGAAAGTGCTGGTTAGGGCTGGTGCCTTTCTGGAGTTGTTGGTCCGCGGAGGTGGCAGTTGTTTCTTGACAAGCCACTGCCCTTGCCCTCGCAGACTGCTGCCTCCGTCCCTTACTGCTCCCCGCCGTTGCGAGGCCAGACAGGCTAATAATCTGCGCCCTGTGCGGCCCTGTGCCCCTCGACCTCCGCCGCCAT